AAAAAGAGAGAGAGAGAAGGGAAGAAGAAGAGAGCGAAAGGAGAGACAGTTCCCTTAAGGCAACAAAATTAAGGCGCACTGATCTTGGAGGAACAAGGGCTCTCCTCTGGTTTAGATGTGCTTGTCAGGGCTTAGTGTCGTCTCTGAACAAGCAATCTCTCCTGCTGGCCCAAGGCGCAGTTTTGTGGTCAAGAGGACAGAAAATAAAGGTAGGCAACTTCAAAGGACCCTAAGCTGCATTCGCCCGCTGGGGCGGGTGGCGGTGGCACATCCCACGGCTGACAAGCACGACCTGCGCGCAGAGAGAGCTCGCCTCCCTCTTGTCAGAGGGAAAAGACGCAGGCTGCGAGCTTCAGAGCTTTGAGGACGTGTACAGCTCCTGATGAAAGATAGCACTTCAAAGCTCTCCGCCTGGAAACCCGGGGAGAAGCGGGAGCGCAGGGTAAGCAATCTTTTTTTCCGGGGGGGCGGGGAGGGCATGGGGGGGTGCATATGTGGGGGAAGGATAAGACTTATTTTCACTGTCATTTATTATTGCCGGGAAAATGAAACCTTGCACTGTTTATGGAATCTCTCATTAAAAGGATCTCTTGATAAATCGCTTGATAAACATTCATTAATTAAGTCTCTCAGCACACTTGGCTGACAAGCATTAGTCTTCATTTTGCAGGAGGGGGAAATTGAGGCATGGAGTTAAGCGAACATGCAGCCAGCCTGGGGCAGTGCTGGGTCTTTCGAGCGCAGCTTCCCAGCCAGTTGCTCTCTGTCACCAGACAGCTGGATCATACTGCTCCTTCCATGCCGAGCCTCTGCTCTGGCTCCCAAGCAACATGCTCAGCTTCAGCTATCTGCAAATCCCCAGCCCCCTCACTGTGGCCCAGTGCCTTGAGCGCTGCATGGCAGAGGTGGTTGTGCCACGCATCCCCACGGCGTAACTGCCTCGCCAGGGCTGTCCACCAAGGCCCCATGTGCTTCGGGTTATCCTGAGGCCGCTTCTCAGCGCCCTGTACTGGGGCCTTCGCTGCTGCCTGGCCTCCATTCACTCTGTGACAGCTGTTTCCCTTGCTGGTGCCCTTTGCAAACACTAAACCCATGCAGGAAATACCTATTTTAAGAAGGCCGTTTTGTCCTCATCCCAACAGTGCCCCTGGGGGGAGCTGGGTTCAAACGCCAGTAACTCCACCAGTCCTGAGCGGCAAGGACTCCGTTTCCAAGTTATTTTGGTAGAAAAGGCACAACTACTCCCAGTTTCACTGTCCAAGGCTTGGCCTGAGTGCAGTAGGTCCATAGCAAGAAGAGGTGGGAGAAGGCGTAACCACCTCTCCTCAGAGAAAACTCATCGAGGAAGTCTACTCTGGAAGCGAGCAGCAGCCAGAACACAACCCTGAACTCCTTAACACACAAAGGACCCCCAATACTTAAAAATATCATTACAACCAGCAGGCAGCGGTCCTTCCAGCGATTCAAGGGTAGACGTGCCTCTACCTCCACAGATCACAAACGCATCTGCCCTCATATCAATCACCATCATCTCCCTCACCCTACCGCTGGGAAAAGGATGGAGCTACAGCTTTCAGCTAGATCTCTGGGGGCCTGCAGCATACTTGCCCTTCAGGAGAAAACAAAGGGCTGGCTGGGAGATCCCCATGAGAAGGGAACGGCATGAGAGAACAAACAGACCTTTATTATTTGTGTATTGATTTATTCATCAGGAGGATATAACACCCAGCCTTCGGCAGGGAATGTCCTTGTAACTCTGTACCGCAGCCACAAGTTTGCTAAACAAATGCTCTCTTGCATCAGAAAGCGAAGACCTGTGAGCGCAGCAGATCAGAGGTTCTCCCCTTTTACTTTTAATTGTTATTTCCTTATGTGGAGGATTTCCTTTACGTGGTGTATTTTCCTTACTCTCTCTTTCTCCCGGAAGCTCAGAGCGCTCTATTCAGCCTATCTTGCAGCTGCGACTGCCGAGGTCGCTCTGGGTCACGCCACCTCTCTCCTCTGCACAATAGCGACCGTGCCCAGACGTGGACATCTACGCCGTGCATCTGGCGTCGCACATTAGCTCGTGTCAGGAGGAGGAGCAGCACTGCGACAGCCCCCCCGGTCGTAAGGAGGTGAAGACAAATGCTACGCAGAGAGCATCAAACAAAAGACTGCTCTTAAGGCCTTTTGTGGAGCTGCGAAATACGGTCAAAGGTTGCATTTTACAGCTGTTACAGACTCAAATAAGTGAAAACTGTCCATCTTAATACTTAATTGCATTGCTAAGCTGCTGATACACAAGGACAGCATAAAACAAATACACTGGGCCAAACACATCCCCAGGGAAGCTTCACGGGGGGGGGGGGGGGGAGGGGGGTGGGC